CACTTATCATCCTCAAACCGATGGGCAATCTGAGCGCACTATTCAAATTTTAGAGGACATACTTAGAGCTTGTATCCTTGATTTCAAGGGGCCTTGGGAAAGACACCTACCGTTGAGGCAAGTATCAGGATGGCATTGTTAGAGGCCTTGTATGGCCGACCTTGTAGATCACTAGTTTGTTGGGCCGATGTAGGTGATGCATCGATGTTGGGCCCGGAATTAGTTCGAGAGATGATCGAGAAAGTTGCTCTTATTTGAAAGAGGTTAGCTACGGTTTAAAGCTGACAGAAGAGTTATGATGATAAGAGAAGGCTACCTTTATCCTTCGAGGTCAGTGACCATGTGTTTCTTAAAATCTCGCCAAGGCAGGGTTTAACGAGATTTGAGGGCGTTACAAAAACATAAACATACATAATTTAAAAGAAAAAAAAAAAAAGTTGTTAGGCCTTTTGTAATTGGCAATTCCTTTGGACAAAACACAAGTCAATTATAATTGCATTTGTTCTTTTGTTTTTGTGAGAATAAGAGTGTTTTACATGCAAATCCAATCTAGTTTGTGCTCAAGTAGAGCAGTTAGTGTTGAAGTGGAGATTTCTGTGCTCAAGCGATCAAGACATGCTTGTAGCTCCTCAGAAACCAATAGACAAATCCAGTAGAGCTTCATAGTTCACTCGAGCGATTAAAGTTGCACTCGAGTACTCAAGGCATACTTGTAGCTTCTCAAAATTTCAAAGAAAAATCCTGCAACATCAAAAAGTTTGCTCAAGCGACTAAAGTTGCGCTCGAGCAGTATGAGGCAGTTACAGTCACTTAAAAAGTACATTTTTGAATCAGAACTAAAGTGAGACTCTCAAATATTCATTCTTGAAGTGCAAAAAATAACGAGAGAATTTTCTAGTGAGATCTACATGTGTACCTTGATGAATTGAGTGTGATTAATTGATCAACATGCTTTATATTGAAGATCATCAAGAGATTTCTACTTCAATTACACTTTGATAGAGAGATGTTCATCGGTTGATTCCAGAAAACTTGAGCTTAAAAGCTTTGGTGGATTCTAAAGTGGCTCATCATCATGGATTCGATATTTGCATTGTGGATTCAACGTTGGGTAAAGCAATTTCGAGATAAATACAGTGTTGGAAGAGGCACAACGAGTTTGGTTCAATTTAGGCATGTATTTGCTAGGTAATTAAGAGTTCTTTTTATGTAATTCCATTGTCTTTTTAGTGGATTATTTTGTGGCGTTGACTTGTGATTTTTTCATCATAATTGGAGGAGTCCAATTGCAATTTTTTTCACATAAAAGTTGTGTCATTTTATTGTTGCTTGATAGTAGATCTAATTCAATTATCTCATAATTGGATTAGATCTATGATTGTCTGATTGTGAATTATTATTCATTATAGATATTGAATTCTAATCAAGCTTTACTACAAACACAGACATGGGGCACAGAATGGGTCATAGACAAAACACAAAAGGGTAGATCCCACATGTGGGTCCCACACAATTACGACCCATCCTTTGTGTATTGTCTGTGACCCATTTTGTGTACCATTTTTGTGCACTTAGTTTTTCTTATTCTAATCACAATCACAATATCAGAGATTCTATATTTTATCAAAAGTAACATTGAATGATGTGACAATAACAATATGCAATTATGATTTGTAGTGGTGGGCTTTTTGAATTCCAACGAATGTTTAAAATGAGCCCCATCATTTTATATATAAATAGATAATCTAGTGGAAAATCAACTTCATATACTTGTATCGCAATTAGTCCATGAGATATTTTTGTATTTCAATAAATCATATTCTTTCAGAAATTTGATCTACTAAATCTTAATTCTCATATTTGAAGTCTTTTGTGAATAATTCTACCCTTATTCTCACCCCTTAGCCCACAGTATATATGATATATTCATATATGTATGGTATATTCCATTATCGTAGGTTTGTAATCGAAGTTAGCAACGACTTGTGGAATATATTCATATAGTTTTGGTGCAGAATGATGGAAGGGTACGATTCATATGGACTTCTTGTTATAGTTTTGCATCGAATCGATATAGAATTGTACTAAAAAAATGTGAGTTTATTTGATTATTTATTAGCATAGAGATGTACATTGGTTATGAACACAAACTCAAAAATCTATGTATGATAGTGTGATAATGTTTGTTCGCATGGACAATCCATGGTCATTTGATTTATTTTTGAAATAAATTTTTTTGATACGATGGAATTTTCATATTTTTGTATCGAATACGTTCTTTGCATCACACTGTTTGCACCACATTTTTGCTAAATTTTCTATCGACAGGGATGATGGGCAAGTTGATGACAAGTGGCAACAAAGTCAGAGTTGGAATCCTTCATGGGTCAAAGTATTACGTGGCATGAAGCAGGTATGTATGTGATTGGAGGGCTAGTTTGAAGGAAGTGTTGGTTAATGGGGAAGTAGTTTTCTCTGTTGGTGTAGTGCTAAAAGTCATGGGGACACGTGGCAATATAAGGGAAGTTTGTTTGGGTGGTGAAAGTGAAGGTGCATAGAAGATTGGATCATTGGTCAAAGAAAGAAGGAGAAGTATAAAATTTGGGAAGTTTGTAGAGAGAAGGACCTTCAACAACAACAACAAATTAGCTTTTAAAACTAGCTTTGTCCTTAGGAGTAGATCTCTCAAATTAGGAGTAGTTTCTTGTAATTTGTGACTTTGTAAACTTAGATAGTTTCATATGAAATTATCTCTGTTTATTTTATCTTTTTTTGTTGATTTTTACTTTATTTTAAAGAAATCCTTATCTTTTCAAGATATTGAATCAAGAACACAATCTCCTGTTTCTTTTGTTTGATTGTTTGGTTTAAATTATTGTGCAATTCCTATTGATTGGGGATTAACATAATTTTTACTAACACACACTATTTCATATGCTTTGAATAAGTGTTTTGATGTGAATGTTCTAATCTAATGGATCCTATGTGAGTGTTCACGTTACATTGAGTTATAAATATTGATTTTATATTGTGTTGAAACCCATAAATTAAATGTTAGGTTACGAAAGGCAGTAAATACATGAACTTCTTCTTCTTTTTTTTTTTTTTTTAATTAGCGTTACTGATGTCGTTGATTGAGGGAATAAAACAAATGTTGGACCTTTTAAATTTATAGGTTCTTCTTATGGAATTTAGCAAACAATCTCAGCATTCTTCTTTTTTTCGGAATGATTTTGAAACAAGATGTATGATGTTAATCCCACATTGCCAATCTAAGTCAACCAAACTTAGTTAATATAATGTAAGAGCCTTTTTACTCATTGCCAATTAATTTTGCATTGGATGTTTTTATAGTATTTATTTATTTCTATATGGAAAATGGTGACAATAGAGTCCTTTCACATTAAAGAGGATTTAATGGGTTATAAAAATATGAATTGAATCAAATGGATTATAAGATGAGAATAGATATCAATGCATTTGAATTTTCATGCCACATGCCTGTCAAAGCTACCACCACCACCACTTTTCATTTCTAATGTCCCCACTACCAGTTCACTCAACCTTTCCCTATTGCCTTCCAATTATCTCACAAAATTATTCAATGCAATACCACAAAATGAATGTATTCACCCAATTGTCTTTTCTCCTCCCATCTCCTCTTTTCTTTTAGAGGACTTGCCTTCTTAAATTTTCCAAATTGTGATTGTTTGGTTTAAATTATTGTGCAATTCCTATTGATTGGGGATTAACATAATTTTTACTAACACACACTATTTCATATGCTTTGAATAAGTGTTTTGATGTGAATGCTCTAATCTAATGGATCCTATGTGAATGTTCACGTTACATTGAGTTATAAATATTGATTTTATGTTATGTTGAAATCCATAAATTAAATGTTAGGTTACGAAAGGCAGTAAATACATGAACTTCTTTTTTTTTTTTTTTTTTTTTTAATTAGCGTTACTGATGTCGTTGATTGAGGGAATAAAACAAATGTTAGACTTTTTAAATTTATAGGTTCTTCTTATGGAATTTAGCAAACAATCTCAGCATTCTTCTTTTTTTTGGAATGATTTTGAAACAAGATGTATGATGTTAGACTTGTAGGATATTCTGCCTAAAACCCCCTATATTCAATTGGAGCTATGTGTGGACTTGAGCGAGAGACGATTTGGGACAACTTCTAATGTCAATCGTTGGTATTTTCAAATATCCTAAATGCTATTAGATATTTCGTACTATCTTGAAAGTGAAGCATTACAAACTATTCTAACCTCATAATGTCCGAATAATGGTGAATGAATACTTTTTCAAAAACTCTCGACCCTTATTAGGAATTAGAGCGAGGAGCTACATGATCAAATAAGCGCATAATGCTGAAATAATAGTTGTTGGATCATTTTTAAATTGTGAACCTTTATTAAATGTTATGTGATCTTCAGAGCGATGGCACCATAGGATCATTTAACACGCATGATACCCAAACAATGGCAAATGGACAATTTTCTTTAAAACTTGTACAATCTTTTATTCAGCATTATGTGTGAGTTCGAAAGCGAGGCATTACAGGGCAACTGAGCACATGGTGTTGAAATAATGGCCTGTAGGATTTTTTCCAAAAATCTTTATCCTTACTAGGTATTATGTGTGGTATTGAGAGCGAAGTGCTACATGATTATTTTAAAACACATAATATCCAAATAATGGTCAAGAGATTATTATTATTATTATTATTATTATTTTTAAATATAGCCATCACAAGAGCATGGCATGTGGTCAGAAAGGCGATCACCAAGCACGCTATGTCTGAGTAATGGTTCCTAGGAGGCCTTTATCTCCTTCTAATACAGTTCTTACTTTGCTCATTTTACTTCAAATTTTTCTTTTTCCACCTTGTAGTGTGGCCATCAACATCCTCTTGTAGTGTGGCCATCAATACACTACCTGAACTACATTATGACTTTATTCCATTCATGGATGCGTAGGTAGCCCATGTTGCTTGGCTATAACACATCCTCGTGATAGAGATGAAGCCCCAGACCAAAACGAGCACAAGCTCGACGAAATGCCATTGCTTCTGCCTTCTGCACTGGATCTCCATAGCCTGCATCGTTTACAGGAGCAGTACCTGTTGACTCCTTGTATATCTTATCAAAAACACGAAAACAAAAGTGAAGAGCAACCGAGGTCAGTTCCCTCATACATATATATATTTTCCTATTGAGATTCATAAAATTAAAAAAAGAAAAAAAAAAAAGAAAAGAAACAGGAAGGAGTAAGAGAGAAAGAATTGGCACATATTAAAAAAAAATAGTAATAATGTTGAACAATCTTATACATGCAAAAGACATAAATAAATTTATATTAACACATTATATAATAGTTTTTGTATGAAGACATGGTTACAATATCTAAAAGCCACCAACCATAAATTATTTAAATCCCATTACATTCTTTCTTGACATTAGAAAAATGGACATAACAACCCTAAATAGGGTAATATAATAAATAAATAAATGAAAATCTGTCAGACAGTTCCTAGAACACATGCATTTTACACAAATATGTCAGACAGTTCATAAAGCACAGGTGTATTTTACATAAAGATGCATTTCAGTTCCTTGAGCCCTAGACCTAAGACGAGTTTTTTTAACTAATTATATATGCCCCTTCGTGTTTCTCTCCTCTCATTCCTTCCGTTCACTGAGAACAGACACAAACTTTTAATAAAGGATAGACGGATGACATAGAAAGACAAGGATTCCAAAAAAAGCCCACTTAAAGCCCATCATTAGCCAATAAAGGAGCTCTTGCATAGAAAGTCATGTTTGTTAGAAATTTTAATTTTTAGGAGTTTCTACTTTGGTTAGAATTTCCCTGACAAAAATTTTAAGTAAAGCTAGCAGTCCTTTCTAGGCCTACTATCTAGCCTGTTATTAGTTTATAAAATTTCTATTGCTGGAACTTTATATGGTTGCTTTATTAGATGGAACAATTTTGAGAAAGTTTATCTTTGCGATCGTCTGGTATCTACATATCAGGCTCCTTTCTATAAAGCATATTAGAATAGAGTGAAGAGTTGCTCTTGATTAAAAATGAGTGTTGAACTCTTGTACTGATTCGAGCGTGGATCTCAATCGATCCCTCAAGAAATAAGGTACTTTCCCTTTATTAATCTTATTTGCTGAATTTCTATTATTGCAAATCTATTTTTAGTTTCTTTAATTTAACTATGTAGTCTGGAGGACCAACGCTTGGTAACCATTATGTTTCAAACCTTAACTCCAAACCCTTGTTTAAATCTTCAAAGCCACACTTTTCCTTGTGGTACAGCCACAGAATCAAAGAACTATACGTTGGGATAATTCGGTTTAAGGAAATACAAATTATATAGTTAAAACAACTTATATGAAAGGGAAAGAAAATCCATCAGTAATGACCCTTGGTTGATATTTCAACAACATAACCATCAACTTTAATAGATACCTGTTTTCTTCTTTTTAACAAAGAAATAAAATCCACTTCTGCCAATATCTTTTCCTCATTCAATGCAGATAGTGCCAACAGAAAGAATCTCAGTAAGTAAAAAGCAAAAGAGATCAAAGAAACTAATACATTAGAAATCATGCCAAATGATAGTACCCTTCAGCAACTTCCATTGATTTTAGGCTTACATAATAGGTCTCCAAGCCAACCACTGAAGTTGGTTGCCCCAGCCCCAGGTATGCCAGAACAGTTAAGAACTTTAGGACAGGGCCTTTTCAATTGTTACAACCTACTCTAGCCTATATCTAAGGGGGAAAAAGAAAGGAGATCACTCCTGACGCTCCACACCAAGCTCAAACTCACAACCTCCAAGAGATGCAACATTGCATTAATAGACGCACTATCAATTAACCAAAGTTACAAAACTATAGAAGAAAGCAATGCACATTTATTATTAAAAAATCAAGTCAATTTAATAAAGTGTCATCAAGCCTGAATCTTGCATGCTCTACACAAGCTTTAAGCACGCAGAATAATTTGGTTTTGACTGTCAGGGTCGCTCCTGCCTCAAGAAAAATTAAGCTCAATATGTAACTTGATAAGTTAAAAAAAATTCCCAGCAGTCACCAGTGAGATAGCAAAGTTAACTACATATATTAGAAGATACTATAGACTTCCATATGATGTTCGGCATCAGCAAGGTAATGACTTGAAGCAATGACAAAATGGCCCATTTAACTACACAACAGAAAACATTTTCAATAATTCACACTAAAGCAATTTGAAAACATAATCTTGTCAATCTTCACTAACTAGAACAATACCAGTCAATGTCCAGAAGCAGACTAGGTATGAGTACATCACTACTACCAATCTAAGATGCATGCATATTGTGATACAAATGAACAAATTACGAAGCATAAAGCAGCAATGGTACCTCAGCATCAGTCCCATACAGCGTGACACGGTAAACAACAGACACAGACTTGCCATCAGCCGAATACGTTATGTTTCGAACCTCACCAGACCATTCTACAATAGATTGAGAATTTGAAATGTTTTCAGCATTCACAGATCTCAGTGCCCCTTGCAATTGGAATTAAAATCACTTGGTGAAAGAAAAATAGTGAACTTTAACGTACCTGGAGCATGTAAGTTCATAATCCGATTCACAATATGCCTAGCAAGAATGATAAGACAACTTGAAATGTCAGATAACCTTCCTTTCCAAGCACTAAACATTAGAGCTAAACTCTGATTACTACATTATAAATTGGATTAGAGTGGTCCTTACATAACAAATAAAATGTAACGTTGAACAGGACAAGAAAAAGTTCATAAGATAAAAAAAATAAAAAATAAAAAAACTCATACTTTAGATTATTTTAGCCCTTTCAAGATTGTTAACAAGAAGTTTCAGCACCATTCCTGAGTAAAAGAACTATTAAAAACAAATTAAGTATAATATTATAAAAAGAGGCACCAACAGGGTGCAACCCATGTACAAAAGAAAACCAATATCATCTATACATCAAAAACCTATTCAAAGGTGTCCACAAATCCAAAAATTGGTTCAAGGATGGGCTAACAAGCATGGACACGGGCATTGGCACGGGCATGGACATCGGACATAGTGATTTTTAGGAAAATAGGATATGGACACGGCAAGGATATGACAAGAAATATAAATAAACACATTTTTATCCACGAACAACCAAAAATAATGAAAAACTAACATTAATTCAACATGAAAAAACCCATTCAATCTATAATTTAAAATATGTTACATGGACTCGGGTACAATGTATCAGGTGTGGGTGTGTATCCAAACGTCAAACCTTCATAAATTTAAATCTTAGGATCTTGAGATACGTATCCAAAATTGGATATGAGTGCGGGGATGCATCATATACACATACATATTGCATATTATATAATATTCTTAGAAGAAATGTTGTAAAATATATAGAAATATACTTGAACTTGAAAAGGATTTAGAAAAAATACGAAATTTCTATATCTAATTCATGTGAGAGGCTAAAAATATTGCTTTACTAGCAAATATGAGTTTCTTCTTCTCATATATTGTAACAAATTAATGGATCTGAGTGTCTAAATTGGGTACGAGTGTCGGACACATATCTCATACCCTTACCTATGTCATATCCGGTGAACATGGATTGTGGGGGAAATATAAGAGTTCATATAACACATACACAACACAATCACAAACCATTACATCACAAATGTCAAAAGAATTAAAGTTCAATAATGAATAAATCATGCATCAAAAGTACATAAACCCCCACTATTTTGTTTAAGAATTAATATGGTGTTAACATTTACCAAAAGAACCAGAAATTCCACAAAACTAATGTGAATGCAAGCATATAATAGGAACATTGGAAAGATGAGAGGGGCAATGTCGACACATTTTGAAATGATAACATGTTAGTGTTGGCTGTATTTCGAAACTTCTCTCTACAAATAGCCACCGTTTAGTTTTTAGATTAAACAGTGCTCCGATTTGGTAATCCAAATCATTCATTACTCTCTTGGAACAAGTGAAGCCTCTGATTAATAAAGAACATAAATTAAAAGGAAATAAGAGGCTTAAACATGAACACAATGCATTCATTAAAATTTTAAGGCTTTGATGCCTCAAATTACATGAAACGGTATAAAAAGAGAGGGCTTGGAACCCTTTACCTATAACACGCCATGTCTATAAACACATAAAAAGATTTGCCAATTCTTGAGAGAATGAAATTTCACATCTCTTGTTTGGATGATTAATAGTGTGAGTAATGGTGAGAAATGAAGAGAAATGGTGAGAAAGAAAAATCACTCCAAACTTAAGTTTTGTTTCTCGCCCAAAGTGGTGAGAAACAAAGCAAATAAAATAAAATAAAAAATTATAATACCTAAACTACCCCTCTAAATACAAAGCAAATAAAATAAAAAGACATGTATCCTCTTTTAATCAGCATATCCATCCAAGCAGAAGGTGAGAAACCATAATCACTTCCTTTCTTTTCTCATCTCCCAATCCAAACAGAGTGTTAGAGATAATAGGAAATCCCTACTCATCTGATCAGCTTGGTCTTTTGCAATTTCATTTATCTCATTTAGCATCACCACCGTAGGCCGTTCATGTGTCATCTCTTGATTGAGCATTTGGCCTCTTATTATCTGCTGACCCCACATGGCATTTGATCTCTATCAAGATAACTTCTTGGTTAGAACTTAGAAGCATGAATCCAGTGTAGCATCTTATTCATCTGCTCTGTAGCATCTTCTTGATTGGCTTTGAATTTTGCAAACACATGGGACTTAGATATTTCCCTGTAAGTTTGTATTTCCACCGTAGGCTCTACACGTATCATTATCCCAATCAATCCCCAAATCTTTGGTTTAGTTGAAATTTACGTGCCAAAAAATGCCCCCACTCGTGATTCATATAAGTAGGTTTTTATATGATTTAGATGCCAATACAATCATTTCTCTTTATATATTAAATTTCAACATGGTATCAGAGCTATAAGATTTAGACTTATATATTGTTTTCCCCCGGCGGGCAGCCGGCCGGCAACCTTGCCTTCGCTGCCCGTTGGAGTTTTTCTATACATACCTTCTCTCTCTCATCTAAGCTTGGGTTTTCACGATGATGCAACCAGCAACGAGCGTAGTTCAGCCACACCAGCAGAACCACCTTCAATACCAACAACAACAACAGTCATGGATGATTAAGCAGCAGATGTATTACCACCAGCAACAACCCCCTCAGGCGGCTGCCACGGCGGTTCAACAACCCCAGTACTCGGCGTCCCAGCCCTCCAGCGCCGACGAGGTCCGCACTCTTTGGATCGGTGATCTCCAGTACTGGATTGATGAACAGTATCTCATCATCTGTTTCGCCCATACTGGCGAGGTGGTCTCTGCAAAAGTGATCCGTAACAAGCAAACTAGTCAATCAGAGGGTTATGGCTTTATTGAGTTCGCAAATCATCCTGCTGCGGAAAGAGCGTTACAAACATATAATGGTACCCAGATGCCAAATATTGAGCAGAACTACAGACTGAACTGGGCATCCTTTGGTACAGGTGAAAAACGTCAAGATACTACCCATGACTACACCATATTTGTTGGAGATTTGGCATCTGATGTTACAGATGACATGCTGCAAGAGACTTTCAGACCCCACTACCCCTCAGTTAAGGGTGCAAAGGTTGTAACCGATAGGATGACCGGAAGGACTAAGGGCTATGGGTTTGTCAGGTTTGGAGATGAAAGCGAACAATTGCTAGAGAGAAAACATAAGACATTTGGTCAAAGATCCTTCATAGCCTTTGTTTGGGAACTTGATTTGGGGCTAAAATAGCCACAAAAGACAAAATAGGCTATTTTAGCCACAAAAAACAAAACATCACATCCAACCCATAATCATTACACTCTTCTCTCACAAAAAAAGCTAAAAAAGTCAAAAAGCCAAAAAGCCCTTCCCAAACCAAGCTTTTTAACCCAGGCTAAAATAGCCAAAAAAGCCAAAAGGCCAAAAAGCCAACCCACTTCCCAAACCAACCCGTAATATCTTTTCCTGATTGTCGTCTAATACATATAAAAATGATTATGTCAGCCTTACATCAGGTATTAAAAGACATTAACAATATGTAAAACGTCTATTCTTGTAATATATATATATATATATATATATATCAAATAACCAAACACACTATATATTTGACTATCAATAATGGAGTAAAAGGTTTTGGATATAGATTTCAATTGCCTCATGATTAGGATTACGCAAAATATCATTCAATCTGTTAGAATTGTATTGATTCCTATCAATCTGCACTATTTTATTCTCTAATCGCGGATTAAATTTTAAAGTTATTAATCCGCCTTTGAAACAGCTTCACTCCATTATAGTTAATATATACATATATATTTAACCTCTAATGAAATATCAAAGTAAAAATGAGTGTGAGAGGAATTTAAGATATGAAATTTATTACAAATCAGTAGTTATATATATGAAAAACACTATGTAAAATTAATTTGTGTTATATATATGAAAAATATTATGCAAATTAGTGTTATATATTATGCAAATACTTAATAGTTGGTTAGAATATTTATCAATCCATCAATTCGCCCAAAACTGCCCAAACCACGATTTGACAATCTCGCCATTCAATTTATAATTGTACTCTCAAATTATCCGAATTACACCGCGCACACTCCAACTCACGATTCATTTAGAAAAAGAAATGAGATAAATTTCTCTCAACACCTTTCAAATTTTTAGATTGCAGTTACGATAGATACCACATTAAAGACCACATTAAATTAATGTGTGAAGTTCAGGTATCCAAGTGGTACATATTAAAGATATAAGGACTAGAATAAAATAGGTGTTATATTTTAGAGATCATTTGTGTAATGGGTTGAGTTTCTTTCATGTTGAGATCTTAACATGACAAAACTTGAGGGGCATATAGGGCTCATTACGGGTCCCGTTTTGGTTATCCAAACCGTTCATTTTGTAGGATCCACAATGAATATTATATGTAAGAAAATTTAGGGCGATTCGATAACCGTAATTTATCATTTTATCGCATTTATTTTTTTAAAAAATGGATGGTCTATTTCAAATATACATGTCGTCTATTTTTTCAGAGAAAAATGCAATAAAATAAAAAAGTCATGATTATTGGATTGAACTAAATTTTTTCATAGATAATATACATTGTGAGTCTTACAAAATAAATAGTTCAGATCATTGAAATGAGACCCGTGGTGGGCCTTATATGATCTATTTCAAATATATATTCGTCGTCCATTTTTTCGGAGATGAATGTAATAAAATAAAAAAGTTATGATTATTAGATCGAACTAAATTTTTTCATGGATAATATACATTGCAAGTCCTACAAAATGCACTCTTCAGATTATCGAAATGAGATTCGTGATGGCCCTATAGGACCCTTAAAATTTTTTTAATATTGAGATCTCAACATGAGAGAAGCCTAACCTTATCTAATTTAAGGGGACTTATATGTATGTCCTAATATGTGGACTTATTGTCCAATAGATCATGTGATAACTAACGGTATTTTTCATCAAACACTATTAAAAAAACATCCGTAATTATTACTTTTCAGTGACAGTTTGAAAATTTTGTCACAAAAATATTACTAATTATAAGTTTTACTGATAGTTTAAAAAAATGTTACAAAAAAGTCACAGAAAAACGTGACTAACTGTAAGTTTTAGCAATAATTTATAAAACCATGACAAAAGTCACTAATTGTCAATTTTTAGCGTCATGTGTTAGAAATCGTTACAAAAAAATATTTTTAGTGATGATTTTGTTAGGACTAATTTTCAGTAAGACCTAATAGGAATTAGGTCCAATTATTAGAACTTATGGGTAGTTTACTCTCTAATTTACCCAAAAGTTTAATGGGTACAACCTCATATGCATGTTTAGCAGATTTTTATTTATTTTATTTTTTATTATTGGTAAAGATAACAATGACGACAAATTAGATATTCAATTAAAACAATGTCACAATTAGGGGTGTAAATTTGGCCCATTGGCCCGCGATCTGTTAGGGAAAATATGTGATTCTTTATAAGTAAATCAATCAATGGGAATAAAAACTAATGCGGAAAAATTAAATCAAAGGCAACACAAGAATTTTTACGTGGTTCCCTCAATATGAAGTACGTCCACGGGATCGAAATCCGAATCCACTATCAACCAAATAAGTTCCAGACGATTACAAAAGAGACACTAATGGTCTCACAAAACCACCCTTAGGTGAATTCCAAATAATCACAAATAAATAAAGAGGAAAGACCTCACCAAATAGATGAACCAAAATCTTTAGAACCAAAGTTGAAGAAGACCCAAAATAATAGACCGAAATCAAATCTATTAAACTAGCCGAATTCGAACCAACCACGGACAGAGTATTTTTCCGAAGCTTGAACACAAATGCCACCAAATTAATTGATTAGCCCAAAGCATTGACCAATGGTCAACAATGGCACAATGGAATTTACCCAGCAAAGTCACCAAAAAACAAATCAATATAGATAGCACTCTTCTGTCTCTTCCGCAGAACAAATAAAAATATCAATATATATATATATATATATTTATTGTGAATCTAAGGTTTTGTAATCAAATCCTAATTGTTACTAAATTAGATTGGGTCTCCTCAAATATAATATATAGAAATATATTATACTAAACCAAGTCAAATTAAAATTCTTTAACAAACCAATTGGGTCCCACACTCCAATATGGAGGTATACCCAACAAAGTAAGGAGTCGATAGTCGGTGGTTGCTAGTTGTAGACACCCCATTTTTGACCGTCCTCAAGACTTGGACGTCACTGTTTGAACACACGGTGATCTTCCATGTTTGTGTTCGTTTGGAGTTCCCGGAGGCCTCGGCTCGCGCGCCTTGCCTCAGGATCTCCGAACTTGACCTTTTAGTGTCTGGTTTTGCACCAAACACTTGCATCTTGCCTTTGAGAGGCAGAGTGGGGCTTGTAGACCATCCCCACCCATCACCGGCAGTGGCTAGATGCCACCGGCTGGTTTTTGATGCCACCGGCAGTATAGTTTGCCGGCCGGCACTCTTTGTTGCCGGTCAGCACTATTTATTGCCGACCGGCACTCTTTTTGGCCAAGATGGCATTTTTTGCCGGCCGATTGCTGTTCATCTGCTTTTGCAGATATTTTTGGACATCTTTATAGCTTTTGCTCCCCTCCATACACGTGTATGGAGGGATCTCCCTCTTGCAAAGCTTGTCTTGTAAGCTTTACAAGAGGCATATAG